GTGCAGCTGGGACCGGAGCGTTGCTCCCTGCAAGGGTCCAGGAGGGCCTCTCTCGGGCCCTTCGCGGAAGCCCTCTTGGCGCATGGGGCAGCCTGGGGCAGTCTGGGGCAGTCTGGGGCAGTCTGGGTCAGTTGGGTCAGTTGGGTCAGTTGCTGGCCCAGTTGCTCCGCCCACCCGTTTCAGTTGCTCCGCCCGCCCCCCGGCCCCCTTGGCAGTCTGGGGCAGTCTGGGGCAGTCTGGGGCAGTCTGGGGCCTGTCTGGGGCAGTCTGGGGCAGTCTGGGGCAGTCTGAGGCAGTCTGGGGCAGTCTGGGGCAGTCTGGGCCAGTTGGGGCTTTCCGGGGCAGCCTGGGGCAGTCTGGGGCAGTGTGGGGCAGTCTGGGGCAGTCTGGGTCAGTTGGGTCAGTTGGGTTAGTTGGGTCAGTTGGGTCAATTGGGTCAGTTGGGTCAGTTGGGTCAGTTGCTGGCCCAGTTGCTCCGCCCACCCGTCTCAGTTGCTCCGCCCGCCCCCCGGCCCCCTTGGCAGTCTGGGACAGCCTGGGGCAGTCTGGGGCAGTCTGGGGCCTGTCTGGGGCAGTCTGGGGCAGTCTGGGGCAGTCTGAGGCAGTCTGGGGCAGTCTGGGGCAGTCTGGGCCAGTTGGAGCACTCTGGGGCAGCCTGGGGCGGTCTGGGGCAGTGTGGGGCAGTCTGGGGCAGTCTGGGGCAGTCTGGGTCAGCTGGGTCAGTTGGGTCAGTTGGGTCAGTTGCTGGCCCGGTTGCTCCGCCCACCCGTCTCCGTTGCTCCGCCCGCCCCCCGGCCCCCTTGGCAGTCTGGGGCAGTCTGGGGCAGTCTGGGGCCTGTCTGGGGCAGTCTGGGGCAGTCTGGGGCAGTCTGAGGCAGTCTGGGAAGTTTGGTGCAGTCTGGACCAGTTGGGGCATTCTGGGGCAGCCTGGGGCAGTCTGGGGCAGTCTGGGGCAGTCTGGGGCAGTCTGGGTCAGTTGGGTCAGTTGGGTCAGTTGCTGGCCCAGTTGCTCCGCCCACCCGTCTCAGTTGCTCCGCCCGCCCCCGGCCCCCTTGGCAGTCTGGGGCAGTTTGGGACAGTCTGGGGCAGTCTGGGACAGCCTGGGGCAGTCTGAGGCAGTCTGGGGCAGTCTGGGACAGTCTGGGGCAGTCTGGGACAGTCTGGGGCAGTCTGGGGCAGTCTGGGGCAGTCTGGGGCAGTCTGAGGCAGTCTGGGGCAGTTGGGGCAGTGTGGGACAGTTGGGGAACTCTGGGGCAGTCTGGGGCAGCCTGGGACAGTTGGGGCGGTCTGGGGCAGTGTGGAGCAGTCTGGGTCAGTTGGGTCGGTTGGGTCAGTTGCTGGCCCAGCTGCTCCGCCCACCCGTGTCAGTTGCTCCGCCCGCCCCCGGCCCCCTCGGCAGTCTGGGACAGTCTGGGGCAGTCTGGGACAGTCTGGGGCACGCTCGGGCAGTCTGGGGCAGTCTGGGGCAGTCTGAGGCAGTCTGGGGCAGTTGGGGCAGTGTGGGGCAGTTGGGGCACTCTGGGGCAGTCTGGGCCAGTCTGGGGCAGTCTGGGGCAGTCTGGGACAGTGGGGCAGTTGGGGCGGTCTGGGGCAGTGTGGGGCAGTCTGGGTCAGTTGGGTCAGTTGGGTCAGTTGCTGGCCCAGTTGCTCCGCCCACCCGTCTCAGTTGCTCCGCCCGCCCCCCGGCCCCCTAGGCGCCACTGGGGGCGGTCTCAGTTGCAACTGGGGTGGTTTCAGTTGCTCCGCCAATTGCTTCCCCGGGAGGGGGGTTCTCCCGCTGCTCCTTTCTGCGCCGGAGAGGGTGGGTAGGGAGTATGGAGCAGGGAATAGTGAGTAGTGAGCAGTGAATAGTGAGTAATGAGTAGTGAGTAGTGAGTAGTGAGTAGTAGTGAGTAGTGAGTATCGAGTAGTGAGTAGTGAGTAGTGAGTAGCGAGTAGTGAGTAATGAGCAGCGAGTAGTGAGTAATGAGTAGCGAGTATTGAGTAGGGAGTAGGGAGTAGTGAGTAGAGAGTAGTGGGTAGTGAGTAGTCGGTGGTGCGGAGTGAGTAGTGAGTAGTGCATAGTGGGTAGTGCGTAGTGAATAGTGTGTAGTTAATAGAGAGTAGTGAGTTGTGCGTAGGGAGTAGTGAGTAGTCAGTAGAGAGTAGCGAATAGTGAGTAGGGAGTAGTGAGTAGTGAACAGCGAGTAGCGAGTAGTGAGTATTGAGTAGCCAGTAGTGGGTAGTGAATAGTGAGTAGTGTGTAGTGGCTTGTGAGAAGTGAGTAGAGGGTATCGAGTAGCGAGTAGAGAGAAGTGAGAAGCGAGTAGTGGGTAGTGAGTAGTGATTACTGAGTTGGCAGCAGGCAGTAGTGATCAGTGAGTAGCGAGTAGCGAGAAGCGAGTAATGAGTAGTGGTTAAATAGTAGTGATTAGCGAGTATGGAGTTGTGAGTAGTGTGTAATGAGATGTGAGAAGTGGGTAGAGAGTACTGGGTATTGAGCAGTGAGTAGTGAGTAGTAAGTAGTGAGTACTGAGTCATGAGTAGTGAGTAGTGAGTAGTGACTAGTGAGTGGGGAGTTTTGAGTTGTGAGTGGTGGCTAGTGAGTAGTGCGTAGTGAACAGTGGGGTTTGAGTAGGGAGTATTGGGTAGCGACAAGGGAGTAGCGAGTAGTAAGTAGTGAGTAGTGAGTAATGAGTAGGGAGTACCGAGTAGTGCGTAGGGAGTAGTGAATAGCGAGTAGGGAGTTGCGAGTACCGAGTAGGAACTAGCGAGTAGGGAATAGTGAGTAGTGAATAGCAAGTACGGTTCAGGGATTAGCGAGTAAAGAGTAGTAGCGAGTAGTGAGTACTGAGTAGCGATTAGTGAATAGTGAGTAGGGAGTAGTGAGTAGTGGGTAGTGAGTAGTGGGTAGTGGGTAGGGAGTATTGGGCAGTGAGTAGTGCGTAGTGAATATTGAGCAGCGAGTAGAGTGTAGTGAGTAGGAAGCACTGAGTAGTGAGTAGTGGGTAATGGGTATTGAGTAGTGAGTATCGAGTACTGTTTGGGGTTAGGGTTAGGGGTTGGGTTTAGGGTCTGTGGTTAGGGTGAGGATTAGGGTTAGGGGCGGTAGGGGGGGGGCGGGTTCTGGAGTCAGGGGGCGGCGTGGCGAAAGGGGGGGAGGGGGAGGGGGTCGAATTTCGAGATCAAGGGGGGGGGGGGTGGTCGGACCCCCCCCTCTTTGAAAGGGAGGGGGGGATCCCCGACGACGGACCGGGAAAGGGGGGGCGGGGGAGGGTTCCCCCACGATTGACCGGGAAGGGGGTGGGGGTCCCCGACGCCGACAACGGATCGGGGAAAGGGTGGGGTGGGGGGGGTCCCACTCCCCTCCCCTTGAGGTTATCCAGCGGCGCGCCCTCCGAGACTGGATCCCGCGGGCAGTTTTCTGGCCAAATTTCGCTTAGTAGCTCGATCGCACTGTTAGAGCATTCGCATGCACACCAAAAACTGATCATGGCGAAGGACCCGACCATATGCAGTTGTGAGTACAGAATTGTGGCACCGCTTTCGGTGGAGCTCCATGTGGGGCCACAGACCGTGCGAGGGGTGCGCCTAAATGGGGCGGCGCCGCCATGCGAACCCCGCCACTGGGTCCTTCGGAGGAGCTCCCTGTGGGGACACGAACTGTGTGAGGGGTGCGCCGAAGTGGGCGACGCCACCACGTGGACCCTGCCACTGGGGCCTTCGGTGGAGCTCCCTGTGTGGCCACGAACCGTGTCAGAGGTCACCAAAATGGGGCGGCGGCACCATGTGGACTCTGCCGCTGGGGCCTTCGGTGGGGGGGGCACGAACCGTGGGATGGCTGCGTCAAAATGGGGCGGCGCCGCCACGTGGACCCTGCCGCTGGGGCCTTCCGTCGAGCTCCCTGCGGGGCCGCGAATCGCGGGAGGGGTGCGCCCATATGGGGCGGCACCGCCATGCGAACCCCGCCATTGGGGCTTTCGGCTGATCTCCTTGTGAACCGTGTGATTGGTGCGCCGCAATGGGGCGGCGGCGCCATGTGGACCCTGCCACTGGGGCCGTCGGCGGAGGCGGCGGCGCCATCCTGCCACTGGGGCCGTCGGTGGAGTTCCTTGTGGGGCCACGAATCGTGTGAGGTGGGCGCCGAAATGGGGCGGCGCCGCCATGCGGACCCTGTCAGTAGGTCCTTCGCTGGAGCCCATATACGCGGCCACGAACCGTGTGTGTGTGTGTGTGTGGGGGGGGGGGGCGCGCTAAAATGGGGCGGCAGCGCCATGTGGACCTTGCCGCTGGGGCCTTCGGCGGAGCTCGGGGCCACGAAGCGTTGCAGTGGGAGTGCCCAAACACAGACACGCGGAGGACAGGGCGCTGTCTCTTCAAAACGATGACCGAGCACCACAGGATGGTTGGGAAAAGCCTTATGCTCATGGGATGGATGCGACTGCGGAGATGTTCTGGCACTATGGCCCCGGCCGCTCCTGCGGCGGCGAACATTTCCGGCCACGACGCATTCCCAGGCCAGTAATCTGGGGGGTTCTGCCTCGAAGAACGTCAACGCCAGCCACGTGCGCGTGTACGAACAAGTTTGCACAATGTATAAGTATGGCCATCTTTGCAGATGCTGATTGATCTTCCACCAGAGGTCACTGTCGGGCCCCCGTGGGGTTGCGGAACCTTTCGGCATACCATCCGATGCTCATGCTCTCTCATTGTCGGCCACGTAGAAAAAATACGCCCGCGTCCACTACGAAGTGGCGGATGCAGGCTCATGGGTCATCCTCGTGTTACTGTTTGCCTGTGTCCAGGCAGCGCACCTCACATGCTGAGGTGCATCTGCATACTCTCGCCGAAGTCCAGAACACCTAACAGCCCGACTCCGACACATCGTAGTTTGGGCGATGTGTTTTCTGTTCTTCCGTTGGCGCCTCCAACAATGAGAACAGGTCGTTCCTGCGTACCTGAACCCAGGCATCCTTCAGAGAACGTCGTGCCATCTGTGGTTATCTATTTCTTTTGTCCGTAGCCATTTTGGCTCAAGCGGCGGCAGGCGTGGAGCCCTGAGGTCTTGCGGGGGGGAGTCCCCCTGCTGGCGCGCGCCATGGCCAATCAGGAGGCCAGCCCATTGCTGTCGGGGCCCGGCCCTGGGGCATCGTCCTCGGAGGACTTGATGAGCAAGCAGATGAGCGCGCTGGAAAAGAAACGGTATTTACGAATGCAGTCTCTCGAAGCTGACTACAGGGAGAAGGGCTACGCGAATAATTGTTTCTGGAAGTATAAGCTCCAGGTGGCTGAATTCTACAGCACAGACGCTACCCAGTGGATTGTGGCGGGACTCATCATTTCCAATTTCGTTGCCCAGTGCATCCAGAGGGTCATAGACCCTTGCATGGGCGGAGAGCCGGACTTGGAACACCACGGGAACATCTGGAAGATGGTATCCAATTTCTTCAACGTGATCTTCTTGATCGAGCTCCTGGTCAACCTGTACGGCTGCTGGCTGTGTCCTACGTGGATAAAGGATTCATGGAACCAGTTCGACTGTGTGGTGGTGGCCCTTGGTGTGGTCGACCTGTGCGGGTTTGACTATCCGGGCCAGCTCCGCCTGCTTCGGATGCTGAGGGTGTTCCGCATATTTCGCCTCTTCGCGCGCTTCGAGGGCTTGCAGCAGATCGTGTTCTGCCTCAGCGCCTCCCTTCCCGACGTGGGGAGTGCGGCCATGATCATGGTCATGATCATGTGCATCTTCGCCGTGCTGGCCGTGGACATATTCAGTGGCGTCTACAGCGGCGAGGCCAGTGATAGCGACAAGTGCACCTACGACAGCGGCGACTACGGCATCTGCCTGGCCCAGTGCACCGAAAACGAGTCTGTCGGCATCACTCCGCGTGGGCATTGCTGGGGCTACGAGTATTATGGCACATTTGGAAAGGCTTTTTACACACTCTTTCAGATAACGACGGGCGAGTCTTGGTCTGAGGCGGGCATCAGGCCAGCATTGATGTTTTTCAGGGGGGACGGTGTGGTCATCAAGCTTGTGCTGATGCTCCTGGTGTTCATGTATGTGATCGTGACCTCCTGGATCATGTTGAACGTCGTCGTGACCGTCTTGCTGGACAAGTTTTCGTCATTCGATAGTGCCTCAACGTCCGACGCTCCAAAGCCGCCCAAGGATTTGCGGGACGCCTTTGACCAGATGAAAGCGTCAGTCGACAAGGACATGGACACTCTGCAAGCGACCATCGAGGGCTTGGTAGAGGAGCTCAGTAAGAAGAAAAAGTGGTAGAGTGATATTCTGCGGTCGCAGAACGGTCTACAATCGACCCTTAGATAGAGGGCATGCGCATAAAGCAGTGACCGCAAAGCGCAGGTTGCGCCCCTCTCTCCTCCTCCGCTGCTCTTGCTTCACCTTCCTCCTCCTCCCGTTGTATTTTTTTCACCCCCGCCGGTGCTCTGGAAAGCGAACGAGGGGGCACGACACGCACTTCAGCTCTGGCCCCTTGCGAGCGGAAACCAAAATCTGTGGTTATCTATTTCTCTTCTGATGGTTCGAGCTGCAGGAATCAACCCTCGGGTCCGAAATCAGACGTCGGCCTCCCGTTGGGTGTGAGCCTCTGCGCACGCGCCAGTTAGGATGAAGATCTCGTGCGAGCACTCGCCTGGGCATGCTCATGTACGGTGAAACGCCGTCTCGTCATTCTGCTTGCAGCGAGCGCACTTCAACGATATCTCATGCGTGGTTCTTGTCTGCCTCCAGGTCCTGGGCCAGGCAGTCCCGACAGCAACTGTCAACTGAAGTCTAGAAAGCCAACGTCGTCCTGGTGCAGCTTCGAGCTGCTGCACGAGTTGTCTGTGAGATCTGTTGCGTGCACCTCCGTCAAGGCCTGTCACCCCTCGAAATGCTGTGCTGCACGTTGTCAAAGTGAGGCCTTCACTGCATCCACGTACTCGACAGGGAACTCGTCTGACATGTTGATGTTGTCCAGGCGTGTGAGTTGATCCATATTGAACCTCCATGCGTGCTCGGCACCGTCAGAGCCCATCGGTGTAGACCAGCTCGTAGATGTACGCAGTTGTCAGCCAATTGAAGAAGTGGCATATCACCACAGGTTCTCGAATGTATCTGCATTTTGAGCTGGCGGGGACCTATGTCCCGAGCATGCTGGGACCAGGTACGGCTGATGCTTGCACGAGTGCTCGGTTGACGAACCCAGCACAATAACCAGAGACGGATACATTCCCTGTGTAGGTTGCATGTTGGGCCGCTGGGTCACGTCCACGTGCTTTCGAACCCAACACTGTAGTAGGACATCTACCTGCACCGACATCCTCGGTCCCAAGCCGTTGCCAAGCTTCCTGCGATAATGTGCCATGGCATTCCTGAGTGCTCCATAGAGCTGGTGCCCGTGGGCACCTGCTGCCTTTGCGCCTTGTTGCCCTGTCCGAGTCTGGATGTCAAGCCACATCTGCGCGTGGCCCGAACATGCTCGGGAACTCGTCGGTGCACGGCTTCATGGTTGGCCAGTCGTGCCGTTCTGTTTGCCCGTGCGTGCGTGACTCCACCATACTCCACCCCCCCGAGTCGCCTCCAAGGTGGAGTGCTTGTCCGACCGCTCGAACGACACAGACATTGTGTTTTGACTCGTTTGCCTACCATCTTGGCGTCCCGGAGAGGAGGGGAAGTAGGAGGAGAGGGAGGAGGAGGAGGAGGAGGAGGAAAAGTAGAAGGAGGAAGGGGAAGTAGAAGGAGGAGGAGGAGGAGGAGGAGGAGGGGAAGTAGAAGGAGGAGGGGAAGTAGAAGGAGGAAGAGGAGGAGGAGGAGGAGGAGGAGGAGAAATGGGAGTAGCGAGAGGGGGACCAGCAGCAGAGGCACGAGCAGAGACAGGAGCAGGAGCAGCAGGGGCAGGGGCAGGCTCGGGGGCAGGGGCCGGGCCCGGGGGAGAGGGGACGGACGCCGCAGCATCGGGAGCGGAAAAGAGGGGGGTGATGACTAGGGGGGGGTGGATATCATGGCGGGGGCCACGATATTTCCCCAGATTTCATGGCGCCTCTTCTTATTTCATTACGTCCCTGGCCCCCCCGCTGGGCCGCGCACATGCCGCCGGTCATGATTTGCACCCACCCCTCTTGTACACCCCCCTCTTGGCCGCTCCCGACAGCAGCAGCAGCAGGGGCGGCGGCAGCAGCAGAGGCAGGGGCGGCGGAGGGGGAGGGAGGAAAAGATCGGGCCGGACGGAAGGGGGGCCCAGAGATCCAACGTATTGAGAAAATCAAGACGGGAGTTTTTGGCCATTTTCGGCCTCCAGAGGCCCTCGCCGGGCCTCGGGACCGTCAAAAAACGATTCAGGATGAAAAACTGGCCCCGGGGGAAGGGTCGGGACTTCCCTGGACCCCGTATTGAAAAAATCACGACATCGGATCTTTGGGGGCATTGTGAACAGGTGGGGTTACTCGGGGGTGGACAAACAAACCTCCTACCCTAACACGTCGATTGAGGAATCGGCCGTTTTCGGTTCGCGAGGGGGCGTCGCGGCCGTCATTTTTGCGGGTCCAGGTCCGTCGGTTTCAGTCCCAGGCCGTTTTCACTAAGGGGAGGTTTACTAAAGGGAGGTTTGTCCACCGCCGAGTTAGATCGGGCCGGACGAAAGGGGGGGATTGGGAAAGGGGGGGTTACGACATCTGCCGCATGCAGCTGGTCTCGGCCCCGCCGCTGGGCCCATTCCTCGATACGTGGGCGCCTCCCGGCGCTGGGAGGCGCCGGGAGAATCAGCTGCGTGAGCTGATTCTCAACCCCCCCCTTTGCTATCCCCCCCTTTCGCCCGGCCCGAAAAGAGGGAAGGATGATCCTGCGATTCCTGGGCGGAGTGAGGGAGGGGTGCCTCGGAGGACGGGCGCGGGAAACGGGGTGGCACCAGCCTCCAGCTCGCGGCGGACGCGGCTCAACAACTGAGGCTTGGATTGCGAAGGAACGGCAAGGGCGCCAGGTGTGGAGTGGAGTGAGGGAGGGAGAGTGGGGGGAGGCTGCGAGGGCGGCAGTGGGGAAGGCGGGGGAGGGAGGCGGGGGAGGGAAGAGCGACGAGGAGGCGGGAGGAGTAGGAACAGGAATCTAAGAGGGCAGTTATTGGGCGTGATGATGGTGGTGGCAACTTTGATTATGATAACGATAATAACGGGCATCGTTAGCATTCGGATTGGGATCAGGATCAGGATTATGAGCATGATTAGGAGGGGGAGGGGGAGGGGGAAGGGGAGGAGGAGGAGGAGGAGGAGGAGGAGGAGGAGGAGGAGGAGGAGGAGGAGGGGGAGGGGGGGGGACAAGCTAGGTGCGCGCGCGTCATATCTGACGTCCTACCGGTCCCTCCCATCCCTTACCATGGCGCTGATTTTCTGTATCCGCGGACTAGTGGGTGGTGGTGCGCGTGCGTGCGTGCGTGCGTGTGTGCGTGGTTGTGGTGGTGGTGGTGGTGGTGGTGCTGGTGCTGGTGGTGGTGGTGGTGCTGGTTGTGGTGCTGGTGCTGGGTGGCGGTGGCGGGGTGGCGGTGGCGTGTGGCGGTGGCGGTGGCGGTGGCGGTGGCGGTGTCTGCGGGTGGTCGGTGGTGGTGGTGGTGGTGGTGGTGGTGGTGGTGGTGGGTGTGTGTGTGTGTGTGCGTGTGTGCGTGTGCTGTGGCATGGCACGGGAAATGACGCCAGCGCTGCAGCGGGAGCACGAGTCGAAACGGGCGGAAGCGCGGAAATGAGGCCAGCGCTGCAGCGGGAGCACGATTCGGAACGAGCGGAAGCACGGAAATGAGGCCAGCGCTGCAGCGGGAGCACGATTCGGAACGAGCGGGGCCCGAAAATGAGGCCGGCGCCTCGTCGAGAGCAGCATTTTGAAAAAACATGCAGGCGAAAACCCAACTCCCGGGAATCCTGTGTGTAAAAAAGCAGGACGCGGGGGGGGTCGGCTACTTTCAGGCCGCCATTGGGGGAAGAGGGAGAGTAGTATTCATATTGAGTAATTGTGGAGGAGGAGGAGGAGGAGGAGGAGGAGGAGGGAGGAGGAGGAAGAGGAAGTGGAGGAGGAGGAGGAGGAGGACGAGGAGAGGAGGAGTGGGAGGAGGAGGAGGAGGAGTAGGAGGAGGAGGAGGATGGAAGTGGAGGAGGAGAGGCGGAGGAGGCGAGGGGGAGGCAGGTGGAGGGAGGAGGTAGGAGTGAGGTGGAGGAGGAGGGGAGGAGGAGGAGGTAGGAGGCGGAGTAGGCGGAGGGGAGGAGGCAAAGAGGAGGGGGAGGGGGAGGAGGAGGAGGAGGAGGAGAGAGGTGGGGGAGGTGGAGGGGAGGAGGAGGAGGAGGAGGAGGAGTGGAGGAGGAGGAGGAGGAGGGGAGGAGGAGGAGGAGGAGGCGGAGGAAGGAGGAGGAGAGGTGGAGAGGAGGAGGCGGGAGGGAGGAGGGGGAGGAGGAGGAGGAGGAGGAGGAGGAGGAGGAGGAGGAGGAGGAGGAGGAGGAGGAGGAGGAGGATAGGAGGTGGAGGAGGAGGAGGAGGAGGAGGTCAGGAGGTGGAGGGGATGAGAGGAGAGGAGAGAGGAGAGGAGGAGATGGAGGAAGGGTGGGAGAACAGGGAGGGATGGAGGGGTCGGGAGACGGGGGTTGGGCTGGCGGAGAGGGGCGACTATGTCTCGTGGCCGTCCGAGGAGAAGTTTCAGCGGTACGCCTCCTGCGTGGCGAACGCCCGCAAGTGCTTCCAGGCTGCGGGCCTGTTGCAACCTTGGCCCGTCGGTCGCCCACATGCCCCCTTCGTTCCTGTCCTGCACTCCCCATCCCTCTAAAACGCACTGCCCCTCTCGCTCCAACCCGTGGCCGCGCCCCTTGGAGGATTGGAGGAGGAGGAGGAGGAGGAGGAGGAGGAGGAGGCTCAAGGAAGAGGTGGAGGGGAGGAGGGGGAGGAGGCACATGGGGAGGATAGGGAGGACGAGAAGGAGGAGGTGGAGGAGGAGGAGGCAGCGGAGGAGGAGGAGGAGGTCGAGGAGGAGGGGCAACAGCAGCAGCTGCTGCAGTAGCAGCAGCAGAGAGGTGGAAGAGGGGAGGGAGGAGGAGCAACAGCAGCAGTAGCCCTCGCGGGCGGGAGAGCGCAGCGGAGGCCATGGGCGACCGGCGCGAGCTGCTGCTGGAGAGCGTGCGCGCGGCGCGCACGCGGCTCCTCGCAGACCTCGAGCCCGACCGCGACGGCGAGGGCGCCGAGTGCGTGTCGGAGGAGGACGCCGCCAAGGACTGCGGGCTGCGGGGGCTCGCGGCGGCGGCGGCCCGAGCGGGGCGCTGCCGGCGGCGGCGGCGGCAGCGGCAGCAGCCGGCGGCGGCAGCGGGCGGCGGCAAACGGGCGCGGCGGCGGCAGCGGGCGGCGGCGGCGGCGGGCGGCGGCAGCGGGCGGCAGCGGGCGGCAGCGGGCGCAGCGGCGGCCTGGGCGGCAGCGGGCGCAGCGGCGAAGCGGCGGCGCAGCGGCAGCGGCGAAGGCAGCGGCGGGCGGGGGCGCGGCGGCCTTCTGGCGGCGGCCTGTGGGGGGGTGGGCGGCCTTCCGCGCCGCCCGTCTCGGGCGCGCGCGGCGGCCACCCAGGGGCGCGCCGTGCAGGCCGAGGGGCGAGGCAGCCGCAGGGCCGCAGCAGCCCCCTTGCGTGGGGGCGCGGTGTTGCGGCCGTCGCGCAGCCGGCACCTGAAGCGGGCCCCCCCCCAGCGGGTGCTCCGAGGGCAGCTGGTGGCACGCAGGTGTCGGATCACCTCGTGCCCCAGCGCTCTTCGGAGCGTCGTTAACACCCCCGCCACGGGCCAAGGGAGCGACGTGAAAGAACGGGGTCGTCTTCGGCGACGTCGGCGCGTAAGCTGCCCGCGTAAGCTCGCGCGTAAGCACCCTCGCCTCCAATGTGGCGTGCGACGCTGGCGGCCCGCGAAAGCCGCCGCGTAAGGTCGCTGCGTCATCTCTCGTATGACCCGTGTTCGATCGTCGCTCAACTGGCGCTTCCTGGTGCGATGCCCTTCCTTCGACGTCACCCTAACATACTAATACTATGTGTGCGTCGCCCCCCCACAGGCGACGCGCGCACCGAGAAATCTTCTAGCATATGCGTCGTGGCGGGCGCCTTCTGGCCACACCGCTCGGGAAACGACATACTACAAGATGGGGTATACTATATGTTCGGGTCGGACGCGCGCCTTCAAGGAGGACAAAGTATTAGTATGTCTCTGCGCGATGCCCTTCCTGTGGGCCGCCGCGTGCGAGGGTGGTGGCGTTGTCGAGCTCGGCCTGCGCGGTTCCCTTGGGCGCGACCGCGCGCAACGCAGTCCCGGGCAGACGGCAGTTGAGCGGGAGGATGGAGCTAGTAGCTGGGAGTTCCTGCTGCTCCTCCTCCTCCTCCTCCTCCTCCTCCTCCTCCTCCTCCTCCTGCCCCGGTCGGAGTCCGAAGAAGCTGGTCCTGAACGAGAAGAGGGTGAAGCGCAGGCAGCGCGGCGTTGCCGTAGCCTACGCGACAACATCGTCCGGCAGCCCTGCCCAGGCACCAGAGGTCCAGCGGCGGATATCAGGGGTTCAACGCCCAGTGCCGGGGGCACGGAGCTCTTCGGACAGACCATGGTTGGCGACCGGGACAGGTTGCCGTGTGTGTGTGTGTGCGTGTGTGTTTGTGTTTGTTTGTGTGTGTGTGCGTTTGTTTGTGCGTGAATGTGTGCTCTTAGTTCCCAGCTGACGGCTTCGTTTTCGCGTTGCGCGGCGTGTGCGGCGGCACCCGTGTGCTCAACATGCTTGAGCAGGCAAGCTGCGGCCCACGACTTGATGCCGAATACGTCGCGCACGTGCTCTTACACTCGGCGGCTCGACTCCCGCTATTCACTGGCCCGTATATGACAGTTGGGTGCGGCAGTTCAGAAAACATAGTGGGAATTGTAAAGGCCTGGCCAGGGCCTTAAGCACGACCAGTGGGTTTCGTCGCGACCTCGGCGCGGGGCCTGCGTGAGGTTGGCGCGAGGTGTGTTTCCGAGACATATTTTTTGCGTTGGCGTTCAAGGCCGCAATTTATTCATCAGGCGTTAATGACACTGGCGCGGATTTTTCTGTTGGGGCCCTGCGCGCGCGTCAATTCGCAAACATGAGCGCGGCGCCACAAACGTTCATTGCAAATCGGATGGATCGCGGCGCATGGGTGGTGCGGTTAAAGGTTTATTAAATTGCACACGAGGAAGAAACGCTGTCGCAATGGGTTGGGGCTGCCATTCGAAGGCCAACGCCTTCGGCAAACATCGCAGGTGTTCGCTACGTCTTCTCCCGAACTGACGCCGCCGCGCCAATCGTTATCACCCGCTCCAGCGAAAGTGACTATTGAAGTGCAGTTTGTCCACAGCGGTTTTGTTCATTGTCGTTTGTCCGAGCTTCTCAGCATCACACGCATTAATGTACACGGCCATGCCGTCGTTAGAAGCGGGGGGTGGTGACGTTCGAAAATGTATAGGGCTACCCATGTACAGTTGAAGCTCTAGCCTTAAAACACAGTTGTCCATGAGCCCCTTAGATGGTTGGCAGCGCGTCGGCGCAGTTGTTTGCACGCATGTTGTTGTCGGGCCATGAAAGTGGTGTCAGTCTCATGGCGTCCCCTTATTTCCTTCGCCACTCCCTTGTGAGACGTCCTTGGCATTCTAATTTTAGGTGTTGCATTATAGTATGCACGCGGCGTGTCAAGGGGGGGTCGTTTGGCCTTGGAACTAGCAAATCTCGAATTGCATATTCAGAAAGAGGGGGGGCACAGTTGCCGAGCTAATGCAATCAGCAACGACGTCATCGGCACTGCGTGCCACCTTCCTGCTCGGACAAGCAACAACGGATTGCCCTGGTCGTCGAAGCGTTATCTTGGCCCAAAAAGGCGGTTCGAAAAGGCCACGTGCGTCGAGGGCCCCAACGTCTAGCTCCCACGGGGAACACATGCGAAACGCCCGGGCCGACCTTCCGATTGAAGGGGCCGTTTTGTGGAACAGTATTTCTTGGGGCCGTCCGCAACGGCCTTTGCGGCATTCAAGGTTGAACGCTTCTGTAGCTGTGTTGAGTCAAGCATGTGTTGGCTCAAGCGTGCGTTTCTTGCCTGGTCGCCTCAGCATGCTGCGTGCTCCTGGCGCCGACGTGGTCGACGACGTCGGCGGGCCTGGGTCGTTCGACGTTGACGGCGTCGCTGGTGACGCCAGGGGGAGCAACGGCGATGGCGTGCGCGGGCCTGCGGCGGCTGACCCTGCTGGCGCTGGTGCTGCGCAGCGGCGGCCGCGCGGTCGCCGAGCTGCGCCGCCGCCCAGGCACGGCTATTTGCATGCCCTTCTCGTCGCGGACGCACGCGGCACAGATGCGCCGCCTGCGTTGTTGGACCGACTGGTGGGGGGCTCAGCCATGCACCTTGCAGGTTTTTGCAGGTGCCAGTGGACATTTGATACTGTGCATTCTGAATCACAGGATCGCCACGCTTCGTCTCTGTGCAGCGGTGCCTCCACGCCCTGGGGGGTCATTCATTCTGAGGTCGTTGATCTGTGGGAGCTCTTGGCTTTCGTGCCAGTGCCGCAGGAAATTGGCGACGACGTGTGTGGGCCGTCACATCTTCCCAGCTTGCTTGACGCTGTAGCTGGCAATGCATTTCACGCCTGTGTCAGATTGGGCGAAGATGCTGCTGCGCCCAGGGCATTGGATGCTGTGCGCCATGTGTTTGTGTTGAGTGCGTCTGCGTTGGCACTCCTCCTTTCGACTGCGTCGGGATGCGTGCTGTCATCGTGCAAGCTCTGTGCTCGGTCGTCGCCCGCATCCATCCTGCCAGGTTGCCCTCCGAAGAGCGTCATTCAGCGATTGCGACGGCTTCGTGGACCTCGCAGGGCGTGTGCTGCGAGGGCCTCGACGCGTCTTGCGGGACAGGTGCGCCCCCGCGACGCGATTGTGCTAGAGCTCCCGCTGGCAAAGCGCCGCGACGCGAGGGCGGATGCCGTCGGCGGCGGCGGCGGCCCAACTGGCAGGAAGCGGAAGTTCGACGCCGTGAAAGTATACAAGGCGTTGAAGTTCCGCCGCCATTTGCGGTCGCGGCGTGTCTCGCCGACGCCCACGCGCGCGATCGCGACCAGGAGCCCGATGACAGGGATGTCAGCGACGACGTCGCCAGGACGTCGCGGGCCCATTATCGTTGTACCGGCCCAGATTGCTGATTTCGGCCCCCCCCCCCCCCCC